TCATGCAAGAAACCACTTTGAAATAGCGTGGCACACCCTGAACGATCTCCCTTGTTAGCGCCTGGGCTTTCTCAAATTATCTCGGAAGTTGTGGGCGCGCTTTCCACTTGATCGCTGCACTGTTCTCCTGGAAAGGCTTGATTTTGACGCGAAATCTCGGACCTCACCTTTAACACAATTCATTCGTTCTGATGTTTTTTGTCTGTGAAGGTCACGTCACTGATCGGCTAGAATAGTGGCACGGGTTCTCAACCAAAGTGAATAACGGATCGAGGAATTCCTCGACCATTGCTCTGTACTGTGCGAGAGTAGTGCCGAGAGTGAACATACGCGCGGAGAGCACAGACGGCTCGCGCATGGCGAGTGTGAATGTCCGCGCGAGAGACGTAACTGATCAGGCGAAATCCTCGACGTGCCGTTGAGGAATCCTCGACCGATATTCACCCTGCTCTCAACTAGAATTATAAAAGCGGGTTAAGGTCCATTCAATCTAGTATATCGGTATTATGGGAGATGAGACTTGATAATTAGCGGGTGGTGGCTACGAAACCTTGGAAAAGTTATGTATACCGTCTACCATAGCACTTTTTAATAACAGATGTAGGCGTTTGCAAACGATCTTCTGAAACAGCCTTGGTCCTAAACACGTGCCTCACAGTGGCGAGAGGCCAAAATTGTACACTTGTGCATGTAAGAGTGAGAATGCTAGCCTCACGCTAACCCGACGAAAATCTTTGAGTGGTTGAGTTTTATTTTCTCGTCACTAATGTGGCCGCTGCGCATCCACTCGCTTGGTGTCCCCACATAGCGGCCGCTCTTGTCGGCGATCACCTTCTGATATTCACTGACCGTGAAGTAGAAAAAGACTTCCTATAGGAACGAAAGAACGTCGAAATGCTCTAATTTGGCGTAGCTTTTCCAACGGTCGGTCCTAACCTAGACCGATTTTCTGTTTCCGCTAAAGCATTATCCCGCTTTGCTGCCGATGGTATGAAACCATCTACAACTTCTTTTGAGTAGTTTTGATGGTTTTGTCAGTTCCTAGCCGACCAACCGATAATGCCTATGAAAAAATCAAGCCAATTCTTGGTGTTCGTAAGCCAATTTATGGTCAAATTGATTGGTGATCATTCACTACGAGGTAACTAGAGGTAGCGTGCTGGAAAGAGGCACCTACCACCCGCATGGTCAATGTCAAACTCTAACTTTTTTCATGCTATCTAAACCTTCGATCTCTTCAGGGGAATTAATTGGTGTCCCGCTTTTCTCAATGGAATAACCCCCCTCCTAACTCGTACATCGACCTATCCCACAAGTCACTGTGTAGTCGCATCGTAAACAAATATCAGTAGGACTTTGAGTGGGAGTAGAATGCATGGTGCATTCGAAAAAGAGATTGATCAACGCAGAGTGTGTTCAAATTCATGCTCTACGTTAAGCCGTCATCTGTTACTCTTGTGAGACTCAGTGATCATTGTATTTTGCTGCTAAATTGTCATTCTGGAAAAAGTGAAGGCGAATGTTTCCGTTGTGCATAGTGACAGGGGATGTGGCCTTATCAACCAGCGGCCCAGCAGTTCATGACCAATCCAGTCAAGTGGAAGTAAATTGATCGGTCGAATTACGCGTTTTGTAGTGAACGACCTCGGTGGTGATGCTCATGGAACATCCGCATCAACCTCCATGGCAGATAAGGTGAAAAGATTGTAGTGAAATTCATGAAATTGAGCCTCTTGAGACGAGCGAATTTTAGGTTGTGTCCGAGATTAAAGCTGCCGGTGGTCAGGCCGTAGCCAATTATGACAGCGTTGAGTTAGGCGAGAGAATCGTGAAAACGGCTATCGACACATTTGGCAGAGTTGGTAAGTTATACTTTTTTCTTTTTTTCTTACAAAGGAAATGAACTTTTATAAACGTGTGTGCTGCAATGTCCACTTCTATTCCCACTTCCGCTTCCAACATTCAGTTATGGATACCGTCCGGAGCCTGGCCTGCCGCAGTATCGGTAGAAATGAAAGATGACTTCCCGGGAGGCTCTATACGGTGCTCCTGCCACCAACACCATGTTCATTCTGCTGTTCAATTTAAGTACCGGGTACTCGACCGGAGGCCCGTCGAAAGCAGAGTCAGCGGATGGATCACAGCGCACGATGTGCAATGGCACATTCTATTTAACTTGACGCGAAATCACTACAGTACGCGTTGCGACTCGTCCGCTGACTTTGCCTTCTTGCCGCGCGACGGGCCTCCTTGCCAGGTACCCTTTGGTACCACATGACACTCTCCGACCTGCCCGCAAAATCCTCACAACACTGTCATCGAGATGAGGAGGGGCGTGGAAAAGGTTTTCACATGCACAGCATGCTAAACAGGCAAATTCACATTTTCAGCCTCTCCGGTCGGATTAACGACTTCCTTCAAACCTTAGATGCGATTCATCCAAAATATCAGATATCCTCCTCCAAAAATCACAAGCATGACCCCAAGTACATAGGCTATGGCCGAGTACCCCTGGTGCCAACTGCCGTGCTTCGTCCCATACGATGTTGCTAGTTGGAGCATATTCAATTAATTAGGGAATCGCCTCTTCAGTGGCCCACGGATTTTTCGATTTTTGGGTCACGCTATACCACACCAAGCGACTTATTACTCTATTATGAATTCTAGCACTTCTTATGATCCCTAGCGCTTTCGAGATCTGAACTCTGAAAAATCACGAATATGGAAAATAGTGGGAGCCACCTATCAGAAAAATTCGGGTAAAACGACTTTCGCGAACGTTAATGAGACCAAGCAAGTTGGGGTCCTAACACTCATTCCCGCATCCAGGCTCCGACTACCATCTCCTTTCATATTGTCTGAAGAAGCATCACTTTGGAATGAGGTGGGGTTTTGGGTGAACCTTAGACAGGGACTGTGGGGGTGGGAAAATGCAACAACGGGAGATCTTACTGGCATCGGAGCAACTGGAAGTGGAAGCTCGTCAACTTGTCTTAACTCGCCCCTTCTTCACCCCGACTTGGAATGCGGCTGAAAGAGACGGGCCATGTCTGGGGCGGTGTCAGGGGTTTCATTTCTTTTCCTTTGCTACACCACTCTCCCCTCTAGCTTCATTATCAAATGTACCTACAAACCTATTTTGTGCCGGAGCTTGCCTTTTAATTCAACGTACTGATTTAGATATTGTGATTAACAATGCTGGTATCTTGCGTGATGTCTCTTTCGTGAAGATGACTGATCTTGACTGGGGCAAGTGTTCTTAGTGTTCTCATAGTCTCTAAATTTTTTAAATTTTCCTTCTCGTTGATTATTCTAAAAAATCAGTTTTGCAGACCTCATTTTCAAAGTACATGTAAAAGGAGCGTATTCTGTAACTAAAGCTGCATGGCCTTACATGAGAAAGCAAAATTATGGAAGAATCATTGTCACTGCATCGAACGCCGGTATTTATGGGAATTTCGGCCAGACGAATTATGCGGCTGGTAGGCCTAAAATTCCTTCTCTTTCGGTTTCTTAAGGTTGCGAAGTATTTTTTATAGCTAAATCGGCTCTAGTTGGATTTTCCAACTCTCTGGCTCAAGAAGGAGCGAAGTACAACATCACGGCAAATGCAGTGGTTCCCACGGCCGGTTCACGTCTAACTCAGACTGTACTGCCTGAGGTCAGATTCTGGAAAGTCTTCGGCTTTACTTTCTCATAGGGAAGCCGTGAGATTGGTGACTTATCATATTGTTTAGTCCCTTGTCGAGGCTCTCAAACCCGAGTATATTACACCACTGGTGGTTAACCTCTGTCACGAGTCCTTCACTGAAAGCGGCAAGGTATTTGAAGGCCGGTGCAGGATGGTACGGAACACGTAAGTCCTCCCATTTTCTAAGCCATACATAACCTCGGAAGAGCTCGTATTTTCAGTGCAATACTACAGATCTGCTGGAAAGCTTCTCCCCACGCTCCCAGCTGAAACAGTGATTCCACAGCACACATTGTGACGTAAATTGCCCTTAAAGCACATTTCGCGATTGCCTAATGTATAGTTATGGCGTCGAAAATAAGTATGTGGATAATGGTGATATTCGACCAGCAAATGAAAAGACAAAAATAAAGCTTGGAAATCATAATGGTACTACATACTGGTCGTGCAAGTAGAGGCGGAGACCAGTGCACTACCTTGCCTTCTCATTGGTTGGCCCTCTACTCGGGTTAAAAGGGACCTATCATTCTGAGGGCGCAGAGGTGAATCCGGTAGTCGGCCTTCGCTAATACGATCAGTGTGCGGTGTGCTTCTATAATAAATGTACTTGTAAGCTGCGCTTTGCTCGTTCAAATGCTTTCAGCGCCATATAATAGGATCCAGTAGAGGTGTGAATGATTCTGCCATAGGGTATAGTAGGGTAGAAAGCCTAAAAAATTTTTTTCCTAAATTATTCCTGAAGAAAAACGCCTCATCCGCCAACTCGTGACTGTGAATGAGGAATGTAAGGAATAGAAAATCTTTACTCTTTGTACGATTATCAAAACAAAAAAATATTAACCATTCTTTCCACTTCAAGTCAGGGTCACTCCCTTCTGATACAAGTACTCACCACGGTGGGTCCGTAGTGTTAAGTTTGTGGTGTGGGGGCTACATTTCTTTGGTAGCACGAAATTACATGTGATGAGGTGGAAGCGCGCGGAAGAAAATTTGCTGTTTCAGCGTCCGTACATACTCCCCATACCCCCTCGGTGGTCGTAGATTTGCAAAAAGTCCCAACGATAGGACCGACCCAGCTTCCAAGGATGATTCCCAGGTCACCGATCTGATCAAGAAAGAAAAAATACGTAAATCATGCAGTTCCGTGCACCGATGACTTCTTTCAGATCGCAAAAGTGCTTCAAGAGCCAGTGATTACGAAATGATAAGCGTTGCCATATTGATTGAGGTCACTGCACGTCCATTGTGAGGGGGCTTTGGGACGATTCACAAGCACAGTCCCACGCGATGAAAGGTTCCGTCACCAATCACGCCTCGCCGACGTTATCGAAACAGCACCGCCCACCAGACATCGCGATCACTGCACTTACGGATCGAAAGTTTTATAGACTCACCTTGCCCATTGTATTAATTAGAAAACCAGCATAATGAGTTTTAGTTCGAAAGAACTGGGACCAGATCACCGATATGAAGGGTGCGAAAAATTTCGAAAGCATGCGTGAAGTCATGACAGACCTGATGGGCATCGTTGCAGAAGCCGAATCGAAAGCCGTGAGTTGTCTTTTGCTCATCGCTCTCTCAACTTTGAAAACCTACAATGTATAGTTGAGATTGTCAAATTATTCTCATCAAACTGCAATCCAATTCAGAATGAGAGTGGACAAAGCAAAACAACGTCTACTACATCTGAAGGTTTTCCATCTCACATCAAATGCTCGCCGCTATTCCAAGAAATGGATGCTGGAGTCAAAGTCAGTTCCAGATACTTGAAGGAAATTACTGGACTACATTTTTCATATTTAAGGAGGATCCTGCTTCTGTTAAGAACGTTAAGGCTATTATTCTCTACATTCTGACGGACGGAAAGAAGGAAATCGGCAAATTCAGTGAGCTTAGACATTCGCTGTTGCTTTGGTGCTTTACCCGTAACCTTAGCAGCTGATTATGAGAATACCCTAGTCTGCGTGTTTGGAGATATAAGTAACTTTAGCCTTGGATTTCAAAAGCTCATCTCCTTCGGTCTACTATGGCGACGTAAAGAACGGGGAGAAGGCCACGGTAACTGTGACTGTCTCCGACGATGACTTCCTCGAGATCGCCAACGGGAAGCTCAATCCTCAGAAGGTAAAAAAAGCTGGATTTTTCTGATGAATAAGTAAACAATTACAAACATAAAAGTGCGTGTTCACAGTGACAAAAACTAATAATAAAAAAGATCAGCTTCACGGCACATTCCTCCATGGAGTGGAAGGTGTTGTAAGTCTAACCCTTTCGGACCTGAATTTTTTTCCGTGGAGAAATTTTTCTTCTAGCTATTGTTTATTACTTGTGAGCATATAAGTATCATTATAGCGAAATTTGGAAGCTATTCGATCACAAACTAAGAAACTAGGAAGCTTTGAAAATTGGCCCACCTTCTTAGTTTTTAGCTTATGTCGAAACAATTCCAAATTTCTTAGTTATGTCGAAAAAGTTTATGATCTTGCACAACATTATATCTAACGTTTTTGATAAAAATGAATATATGTCAAGTATTTTAGAAATGATTGACACTTACCGGCAGCTTGCTGAGACCAGCGCCGATTCATTGTTGCATTTGTACACAAAGACTTACAATGCTTTTCCGTCAACCGTTAGCGAAAAGAGCAAAAAAGAAAAGTACTAGGAATCTTTGAAGTCACATTGCAGGCTGGATTTGTGGGTGAAACCAGCGCGATTACTGGAGCCGTATCCTATCTTCCCCCAGGAGGACGTCCCTGTCTCTGATTCCATCTTAAAGGCAAAAGTCAGGCTCGTGTTTGGGCATTATGGCGCCTGAAATTGAGTGTAGAGATGGGAGGTGGAACGACAGTGAAGAAAAAACGCAAAGAAACCGGTTGATACGGCAATCAACCTAGCTGATCTCACACGTTAGGCCAGCCACGCACCACATCCCGCGGTGGGCGGGACCAGCTGATGAAACGAACCCATCGCTGTAAGTAGTAGGCCAGAGGCCTTGACGGCGCGCAATCTCGAGTCAGGAGTGTGGCATCACCCCTCTGAGCGCATTCCTGGAAATATTAGTGATGGAAAGGCCTTCTATGGTCACCTAATCCTGACTCGTGGCTTTAAGGAAGGGGAGACAGAGTTGCGTCATAGGACTAGCCATATT